GCGATGGTGGCGCTGCGGGCGGCGCTGAGCCCCGGCCCGGCGGGCGGCGCGGGGCCCTGAGGAGCCCCGGGGGAGGGGATCGGAGCCGCGGATCGGAGCGAGGGCTTTGGGGCTCCGGGGGAACACGGGGAGCGGGGCCCGCCGGGCTCCCCCGCCGTGGCCTTGGAGCTCGCTCGGTCTCGCCGCGCTCGTGCCTTATCGCATTAAATTGACTTCACAATAAAGCGAGACGCGCTCGGTCCGTATCTCCCCAGCCCCCGTGTGTTCCCCGGCTGCTCTGCCATGGGCGCTGGAGAGGCTGCACAGCCGCGATCCCGGGGCCGAGAGCAGCAGCCGGGCAGCAGCAGCTGCCGCCAGGGATGGAGCTCTGCCATACGAGATCCTCCAGCTCTGCCTTCCAACTCTCACCCGCACCTCAGGCACCAGAGTGGCCAAGTTGGGCCAGTGCTGGGACACGGAGAAGGGTGAAAAGGCAAACGCTGCCTTTTTCAGGGTTGGAATTCCTCTTCCTAAGGAGATTGTGAGCATCCTGCCCTCTCCTCTCCCACAGAACACTCTCAGGAAAAACTATTATAACACAATGTTTAAATAAGCATTTAATTAGGATTCCATTAGTATTAATATTGCTTTCAATTCCAAAAAGGTAAATTTCCACTTCTTTGCAGATATTTCAAAGTACAATATTAACTTCATACAAAATGAGCAATTAAGCAAACACCATTATTTCACATTCTTCAAAAAATACAAATTCATATTTACTCTTTTGGGTTTTGGAGATGCTCTTCCTTTGGAAGTACTGTACCTGTAACTAACATCTTCACATTGCTCAATGTAAGCACATTTGTTCCCATGTTTCAGAGTTAAATAAATTCCTTTATTACCATACACACATTCTTGAGAAACTGGGGTTTAGTTCAGCTGTCTCCAAAGCCCCAGGCAGTGCAGCCCCCAGCCCCAACAGCTCAGCTGGAGCTGCCCCCGGTGTGGAGCCAGGCTGGGGTTTGGGCTGGGTGAGGCAGAACAGAGCAGGGTCAGCCCGAGCAGCGGGAGGACAAGAGTCACAAACCAGGAACACCAGCGACTGCAACTACAGCACTGCAAACACACCCTCCAGTCTGCTGGAAAAGGTCATGTGAAAAAAATCTTTTTTTAAGAAAAAGTAGAAACTGCATTTATTTGAGAAAGTGTACGCTGCATAACGAACCAAATTTTGGCCAGCTTGCACACCACTGCAGCATGGTGTGGGGTTTCACCTAGTCCCAAAAACACACACTTAGACTATGTACACTACTACATAAATATCCAGTTTAATTTGCATTTCTCAGTGCAGACACAGAATCCAACTTCTAGAACATGTGATAGGTATCAAGACAAGACACAAAAAAGTTAAAAGTTCAGCCCTGTCCATGAGAATCGACTACAGGTAACATTTATAAAAACTTGACATTGCTTCCAAAATATGTTACGGAAAAAAATAGTATACAATTAAAAACTCTGCAGTCAGAAATTCAGAGGGTTTATTAAAGACGTGCTCTTCTTTTTTTGCCTTACAGTCCAAACTGACTCCAACAGCTCTGCCCAGCTAGCTCAGCTAACTCCTGCCAAGAACTTTTCACGCACAGATCTCAAATCATTTCACAGCCAACACCCCGTCCTCGTTCTGCGGGGAGGATCCGAGGCAGCGCGAGGTTCTGTGTCTTGCCCGGTGTCTCCCGGCCAGCGGTGGAAGCGAGGACCTGACACCAGAGCTCGCCTGCTCTGTCCCACTGCCCCGGCTGCCTCACCTCAGGAACAACCCAGCAACAGCTGCTCATCTCCAGTCCCCTCCAAGGACAGCTACCCTGGGCTCAGCTGCCCCTGCAGCTCCATGCCAAGGCTGGCTCCAGCTCTGAGCCCAGCCTATCTCGGAGTAGGAGTGCTGTAAACAGTTCACAGCGTTGATGCACATCAAGGACAACCTTGTGGATGGCTACGGCCATGCCACCCCCAAGAAATAAGGCAGTAACAGGACATTAGAAACCATCTTGAAAACAAATTTCAAAGGTGCAACATGCCTGTTTGAAAGCAGCTTGTCACTTGTGTTCCCACGTGGGTGACAGGATGAGGACAGGGGAAGAAGGACACACATCAAGGGACACAGCAGGTCCAACAGGAGCGACAAGCAGCCCCCAGAAAGCAAGAGAGAAAAGGCTGCTGAAGCACAGTGCTCTCAGAGGGTTATTTGCATAGATTGGACGTTTGCTAATGATGCATAATTTGTCTGGGGCACGGGGGAAGGGCAGCACAGCACCCACCACACTTGTTCTGTCAGACAGACACACACGGACCACACGGGACAAGGATCTTTAGCTACAGGTATTGCACCAAGTTAAGTGCTCATCTTTGCACACCCCTGTTAACTTTTACTCAGAGCAAAAATAAACTTTGTGAAAGTATATACAAAAGAAATTGCAGCAATTGGGTTAAAGATAAAAGAACCTAAAGTGCATTTTAGATACCAGTATGAGGTTCTGCGAACTTGTCTTCCTGGGCACACGCAGCATTACACAAGTGTCCAATTCGTACTTTATTCCATTTAATTCAGTACCAGCATTCAATCAGTGCTGATTTTCCACCCCACCCCCCCAACCCCCACCTACAAGCACAAAAAGCAATTTCTCCAACCTTTAGCTGCACGCCAAGTCTGCTCACTTGGCTCCTTGCTTGGTGACCAAAGCTACCAAAGTCAGTAACTTGACCCCCTCTACATATTTAAGCTTCTGCACCCATCTAGAAACTATGAGTGACCAAGGAAACCCCCACTATCACAAAACAGGAGACCTAGAGCAGTGCAGTTTTGCTCTGTGATAATTAAAGGGGTTCATGCAGGCTTTGTAGAGGCAGGCACGCTGTTCCCAGAAGCTCCAGTACATCAACCCTTTTCTGGGAATCCAATGTCTCATCTATAAGGGCAGAAACTCTCCCTTTCATTAACCATGTAATAGTGAATATGCTAAATGCTGGGGCAGAAAAGGAGAGGACAGGAAAAATCTCTGGCCTTGCAGAATCTCAGGGCTTTGCTGCAGCTGCCCTTGGATCTCCTCCCACCCCAGCATGGCACAGACTGCCCTGGAGCACAGTCTGATCACACAGTACTGGGGATGATGCAAATGAGAAAACATCTCAGATACACGCAGCACAAACACTCTGGGAAGCAGATGGACAGCAAACAACAAAAGCACACACCTGTAAAACGCAGTGGATGCACAGTTCCTGTGCTCACAGAATCACATGTTCCTGCCTCACTACAAGCTCTTAACCAGTTCCACCTGAATTGCAGCCTGCCTAATGCACATATAAGAGGGCAATGGCAAACACAATGCACCAAAGAATCAGCAGGACATAGTGCTTTTCCTGGAACACAACAAAAAAACCCAGAAGCTGTGAAGAGAAACAGCAGAGATTGACCCTGGGCACTGCTGCCCATCACTGCAGCTCCACATTGAGCTTCCTAGTTCAAAGACTTTGGTAGTTTCTTCTACTCATTTCAGTCACAGAAGAGTTTCTGAAGATGCTCTCTGGTCCAACCAGAAGCATGTTTTAGGTTGACTAACTCATAAGTAATAAAAGTAAAAAAAATCCTCCCTGAAGGCTGCAAAGGCTCAGAAGCAGTTGCTAAATTGCCCAGCTGTCACAGTGCAGGCCACTTCTGGGACCCCTGTCCCTCATCAGAGGTAACCCCCACAACTCCAGGGGAATCTTCACCCTCCTGCATCAGCAGTCTCCCACAGGCACACATCCACACCCACTCACCCTCAAACACCACAGCTGCACTTGGCCAAAGGAAATACCTGAGGCCACAGTGAGAGGCACCAGAGGCACCGCCAGGCAGCACTCACCCCCTTCCCTAAGTGGAGCTCTGTGCAGAGTAGCTGGCAGGAGACTCCTCTGCAAGGACAGTCCCAACCATGCAGGCTTGGGAGTGTTTTTTGTGTTCAAAGCAGTTCTTGCTTCCATGCAACCCAACTGCAGCACAAAATGAAGCTGTAGGGGAAAAGTACAGGGGCCACCACCTCGCTGCCCTCCAAGGATTGCCATTACAGGAACAAAACAAGAAATGCTTTGTTAACCCCTTTTGTGGATGCCAAACCTTGTCGCTGCAGGACTCGTAGCCCCACTGCAACAGTCCTGCCACACCCCCAGAGGAAACACCAGCAGCATGATGTGTGATGCCCTGGAGCTCATCCCTGCAACTGCCAACACCGAGCTCTGTGCCCTGGTGCAGGCACACAGCGCGCCCCAGGCACACGTGTCTGCCCTCACGGACACGGCGCTTTCCCTTCTCACCTCACCAGAAACAAGCTGTCCAGGAGGGGAAGGCCAGCTCCCTTCAGTCCCTTTCCACCCAAGCTGGGCAGTGCATTCCCAGGGGAACAGCACAAGAGGCTGCTGAAGGCAGTCCCAGCATGGGTCAGGCCACACTGGGCATGTCACAGGAGGGTTGAACACCTGCTGATCACCAGGCAGCATTCACAGGGTTCTCCCCTCCCTGGAGGTACAGAGAGCAGCTCTGATCAAACACAAAGAGTGAAAGATCTCTATCCACTACAGTTTGCATTCCTAAATTGAGTGCAGGGACACTCCCCACTAATTGGCTTACAGTCATTATCTTTGTATCTCACTAATGACAACACTGTAAACTGAATAAAGACTATTTAATATTCTTTTCTTTTAACACAAGAAGACTGACAGCCAAAGCCAGAAAGATGGATTAAAACTATAAAATTACATATTTTAAAATAATGCAGCATAAATAAACCATTTAGAATGAGACTGCATTTATTGCAACATTACAGGCTTTTTGGTGGAAGGGGGTTTGGATTTGATTTACCCTGAGTAGGTTAGAATATAGACTCTCAGTTTGATATGAAAAACTATTCTGTTGTGTAACTTCTTTTAGTCAAGAAATAGCCCCGTGCACAAAAAGCTGGCATTGCAGTAGGCTGGAGGCAGAGTCAGGCAGAAATTATATAGCTCACTGGAAAAAAAAAGAAGCATGTATGGACAACTGAAGAACAGACTCACTGAACTGAAACTGAATTTATGTTGAATCTCTCTCAAAATTTTCTTAAGGGTTGTTCTTCACAAAAGATGAGAGTAACCAGCAAAGGCACTGTGCTCCTGATTCAACTGCCCCAGGGTTAGGATGATGATTTGTTGCTGAACAGAGCCTAAGAAATCAAAAGAGCAGCAGGCACCAACCTGAGCACACCTGGGACTCACTCTACCCTTCGGAGAGGCCAAGAAAACAGACTCAGGAGCCAGAGCCAGCAGCGGCTCCGACTGTGCTTCCATGTTGTGACACAGTGTCTGCAACACACTTGAGTCCTAGTGGAATTAAATGAACAGATCTCTTAGGGGCACAAGATACTTGTGCCCTGATGAAATAAACTTCCCCAAAGCTCCTGGAGGCTTTAGTAAGAGCAAAACCAGGCACCAGCTCCTCATCAGGTATGTGACAATCACATTCAAATCACACTGCAGATAAATCCTCTCCCCCAGCTATGCCATTTCCTCCCCCCACAGCCTCCTTTCCTGGGCTCCCTTTTAGTGCATGGTTAGTAGAGACAAGAGAGACAGGAGAAAATTAGAAACCCAAGAAGTTGTAACAAAGACCCACTTGCTGCCAGTACCTTAATCCCAAACCTAAGTGATGTGCAACTGGAGACAAAGTAACCCCCCTTTTCCTTTTAGAAATCTTTTTGCACACGAGTAACCTTAACTTCTGTGTTCACATATGACAAGCAAAAGTGACAGACAGTGCAGCCAAAACAGTTCATATATAACTTAGCTATTTCTTTTTTTTTACCTTTTCTTTTTTTTTAGATAGAATCTCAAAGGTGGATGTACCTGGGACGTGACTAAGATGACATCCGTGAAGCAGAAATAAGCCACAAAACTTCCAAAGAGGAAGGAATAGGAATCGATCCTTCAGTTTCTGCTTCTAAGGAGAAGGGTTTTACCCTCCAGGTGCAAAGGAAAATCTGGAACATCTTCACTTAGAGAAGTTGCTATTCATACCAATTTCTTCCTCACCCTGCAGTAGTGCTTCAATTGGAATTATATTAGATGGGGTTTCAGGGCTTTGGAGGGACAGGAAGTCCGATACATCCATGGCACTTAACGTTTCAGTCTGGGAGTCTGAAGGGTTAACTATCTGACTGCTCTGCCCACAAGAAGGAGGAGCAGAGGAGGAAGGAAAGGTCTTAGGCTGCAGCTGGGAAGCTGGCTGCTCCAAAGCTTTTGAATCCGGTGAGGAACATTCCTTCTTAACGGTGGAGGTGGCTTTGTCCTTGGCAGAGTCTCGGCAGGCACACTGGCACTGGCAGGCCTCCTCCTGCTTTATGATAATAACAGGAACGCTGAGACCAATCTGCTGAACGGGGTTTCCTGAAGGTGAAACAAAGACAAAACACAATGGAACTACAAAATTTCACAGCAGGGAGAGAGAAATCAGCTTTGTTATAAATTAGCTCAGTGTCACGCTTACCTGTGTTACCAGCTACTGGTAATGCAGTGGTAAAAAACACCTTTTCTACTTTTGGAACTTGTGGCTTTAAAGAAAAAAAAAAAAAAAACAAGAAAAAAATGTTAATTGACTCAAATCAAATTTCTATTGTTCAAATTCTAAACAGCTATATACATATTCCAAAGAGACACACAGGAAAACTGGGCTCCAAGTCTTGTTTCAGTGGTCCTAAAGACTGGGCATAACATCCCCCCCCATTATTTGCTAGCAAACTCAGCTTTAGGGTTTTGAGAATTTAATGACTGAATTCTTAAACACTGCTCTGTGTGTTCCCACTGCCTGTACTTGCAGCCACTCACTCATGTCCACCTACAGGTGAGAGCCCAAAGTGGCACTGATATTGTCAGAGAGAAAACTCCTGAAGTCTCAGCTATCCAGATTTACTGGAAAACCACAAACACTTTTCAGAAAAACTCTTTTCATTGTCAATCAAAATTAGGCAGAGACAGAGATTACAAAATGCCTAAACACAACCTTTACAGAGCCTTTTGTGCTTCTATGCATTAAAAGTAATACATTAAGGCCCATGTATATCCTCAGGCCTGGTGGTGCCATGTCCTGGATAAACACACTGATACCTGCTGGAAGAAGTCCACCACGAGGAGAAAGAGGAAAACAAGACCTTTCTGAACCATGGGTTTTTCTGTGCTCTACTTATTTCTCTGTCTATTCTAGGGGTTGTATTGGTGACATGTATACACATTAACATGACAAGCATTATACACTGCATCCTAGGGTTTATCTTACAGGTTTGACCCTCTCCCTTTTCAAAAGTAAAGGCTCTGGTAGGAATGGTTGAAGCTGTTCCAAAGCCCTGCTGGATGTACTGACCATTTGTTCTTGGCTTTGTGAAGAACCAGTGGCACCATTTAAGATCCATTGTAAGTTCTGCTCTCCCATGACAATACTGGACTGCAGAATGGCGGTGCTTGGAGAAGGAGTAATGGTTATAGTGGGGTTACTGGTCAAAACAGGGTTTGCACCAACAGGCACAGTCTGAACTACAGCTGGCAGGGGCTCAGTGGCACTCGGGGCTGTAGGGGCAGGAGCCCCAGCAACCACTGACAGTCCCTGTACCATGGGCTGTGGCGGAGGCTGGGTGCGCTGCAGGAAGTCTTGGTGACTGGCTGCAAACGGTGTGCTGTGAGGAACAGGCACTTCTGGGGATTGTAAAACAGTTGCAGGATTCGCAAACGCAGCTGGCTGTGAGCTGGCTGCTATGGAGGAGGGAGCAGAGGGTGCTGCCGAGGCTTGCAGCGCTGCCTGTGCGGGCTCAGGGAGGCCGAGCTGCAGGACCAGCGGGAGGGACAACGAGGCTGCGTCTCCTGCTGGGGGCGGGACCGCAGCGGCTGACTCTGAGTCACCGTTAAACCTTTCAATCAAGGACGCTGCTGAAAGAGAAACAGAAAAAGTATAAATACATCCCTCCTCGTTACATCTGAATGACATGCTTTTTTAATGAACTTATCAGCTAGCTGATGGATTTTTTCCAAGTAAAGCATTACCACGTTCCTCACTTCACACTAGTGCTCAGAAACAACCCTAGACACTGAAACCTAAAAGTAGTTGCAAATTCAGGAAGTTGGTACTTTTGGGCCTACACTGAGCCTGATCAGGCTCATCAGCTCTCACTAATAAGCCTTTTATCAGCCAGGTTGTGTAGCAACTTCAAGAGGGAACCTTGAAAACAGGATGACGTCAAGTGCTTGAGAGCTCCAGTGCCAGAAGTGCAAGACATGTTCTGGGTCACCTCCCCTGTCACCGAGTGTCACACCATCTGTGTACAGCATGCATCCCAACACAAGTGAATTTCAACACTGAAGTTCTTTTTGCTTCATAGAGTTATGCTGGGCATTAAGCTTCAGTCTGAAATGCTGAATTCAGCACATGCATGCAGAGCTGTCAAAAAGTTCTCTTTAACAGCAGTGCAGATACAACTGGTACCTGTCTGCCGAGAGTCATCCTGATTTGCAGTGTGGTCTGGGCTCTGAAACATAGACTCAAAGATGCTTGCTGGTGAGATTGTGCTGAGGTCCTGTCCCTGTGTCTGACAAATAGAAAACAAAGAGGAAGACATTACACAATGCAGTATCTCAGGTCTCCACAAATCCCATGTGCATGTCAGAAACATTCTGCCAATGAACCAGCCACTCTCAGGAAAGGCAACATATATAAATCTTACATGCTGTAAATTTACACCTAGGTTTTATTACCTGTAATCAAATTTACTGATATAATGAGCAAACCCCTACAAAAATAAGTAACTTCTTCAAAAGTAAAATATATTCCTCGGCACTTTGTTTAACCCTTATTTCTTGCAGTACTCCATCAGAAACAGACATTAATTGGCTGCTTGCAGAACCTTTTCTGGAGCAGAAAAAAATAGCTCCATTTAGATTGTATCCTGGATTATGCAATTCTAGTCACCCACACTGCTCAAGGAGCAGAATATACACAAGAGCTGCACCCTCCTCCCACACCACAGCACAGAGAACAACACAGTCTCCTCGGCATCTCATTTTCCTCTATGCAAAACCTAAGCTCAGTCAACACTTATCAAGAAGCAAGAATACTGTTATGGTAAAATCAGATGCAGAGCTCCATACAGCACTAAACTAAACTAAGTACTGCACATTTTGGAGGACAAAATCAAAACTCAAATGAGAATAACTCACTTGATTAGAGTTCTCCCGCAATTCTGAATCTGTTGATATGAGGCTTAAATCACTCAGACAAAGTGAGTGACTTGTATCCTGTGAAAAAGAAAAACAATCTGAATTATATTAAAGTAATTATGTCAGAAATGTTTTAAATTACTTTTGAGAGTCCATACTCTGCTTATATGGGACCCAGGTCTCAGTTTTAAAATCAAAGGAGAAAGACTTTTAAGCAAAGGATATTTAGCAGCTATCAAGGATTGTTAACATCCCTGTCAAAGTACTTCCAAAAAGTCATATAACCCAGAATTCTAAATTAGCAGAGGAACAAATCAACTTTTAGAAAATAAAAAAATTAAACCAGTGAGTATTTTTAGTTAGTATCTCTTTTACTTGACATGTTTACCCCACAGTATTGATTCCAACTGAAGCACAGTTGGAAAGCAGCCTGATGGATACAACTGCCCACATGCACATTTGGCAAAGGGAGCACTTAAAACTCTCTTTGAAAATTCCAGTGTTAAATGTTACACCTTAGGAACAAGCTGCAGACCAAATGATTTCTTCTCCAAGGTATGGTTTATACCCACCTAACACAAAAACATTAAGCAAAAGTGCTACTAACCTCAGACACATTGTTATTGGGAAGTGCATTATAGGTATGGCCCTTCTCATGACCTTTCATGTGACTCTTGAGACTGTACTGGGTACTGAAAGTCTTCTCACAACCATTACTGGGACAGAAGAAGGGTTTCTCCCCTAGAGGCATCACAGAACACGTTTAACAGACTTAAAAACATCATATCAGACACACACTTATAAAGCATCTGGGAGAGCAGTATTTCATACAAACAAGATGTTTACTGCTCCTTTACACATTCAGTATTCCTGGGAGTCCTGCAGGTGAGTGCTTCCATTTCACCATGGGAACTGACACACAACACAGTATTTAATTGTTATGCATCATTACTGATACATTTGTGAAAACATATTAATAGAATTCAAGACCTGTCAAGCATAACTGAAAATCTGAATTGGCCTGACTCAGGTGCAGGAGTTTGCATTTGGCCTTTTTTAACTCGTGAGGTTCACATGGGCACACTCCTCCAGCCTGCAAAGGTCTCTCTGGATGCCATCCCCTCCCTCACACATGTCACCTGAGCCACTCAGCTCAGTGTCACTCCTATGTTATATGTAACCATTAATTCATATTAGGATTCTGAGAATTAGTATAAACTGAATAAGCTCAATTAAAGAAAATTAAAAAAAAACCAAAACCCAGAACTTACCAGTATGTGTTCTAACGTGTGTTTTGAGGTGGTGGCTTGCAGCAAAAGCCTTCCCACAGCCATCATGCTCACACCTGAATGAGGCATCACAGGGGAGTCAGCATCAGCTCCCTTCAATGCATTAACTACAGCCTTAAATCATACTTTGCTATAGTCCCAGGACTCTAAAAAACAGGCCCAAATCTAAGCTCTGTCAGCAACCAGGTATCTCCCAGCACCTGCTGTACATGCTACACACATTATAGCAGGGCTCTGAGTAGGACTTTAAAACCCAAGCATGAATGCAGTATTTGGGGGGTCTCCTTCACGGAATACACATTGCATCCCCACAGAGAACAGCAACGTGCTTTAAAAGATGCTCATCATGGCATAGGTTTATGTTTAAAAAACTACCTTAACTATTCTAGTCTTTTAGGACAATCACTGCACCCACTGTTGAAGGCAGCTGTGGGAGCTGGAGAACAAACATGCTCCAGTGCCAGCCTGCCACCTTCACTTATTTCTCAGGAGAACACCATTCCATTGAGAGCAGTAACAGCTGCTTTTTGGCACAGGTGCCTCATTGCCTGAGCAACAGAAGCCAGAAGTGCCATCCAGCTACTCACCGAAATGGCTTTTCTCCTGTGTGTGTTCGAATGTGCTTCCTCAGGTCACTGTGCGTTGTGAAGTATTTGCTGCACCCTTCTGATTCACAGTTAAATGTTTTCCCTGTGTGAAGCCTTTGATGTGCTTTCAACCTAAAAAACATGTCAAAAAAAACCCTCTTAGGACTGGTAGGATAAGACAGCTATGGCCTGAGGCAAGCAAGCCATTCTTTCAAATGTGCAGGACAGGATCAAAGGCTTAACATATCCTAAGCAGAAGGCAAAGAGCTCATGGAAGTGACTGCTATCAGTTCCAAAGTCATCCAATAAATCTGAGAGACGCTTGTGTTCATGCACCACCTCCAAAGCTATTGGATTATTAAGAAGTCACCACAGTTCTGTCATCCTACCCTTTGGACAATATTGCCACACTTGAGGGGTTTATATTCATACCTGTACATGGGAGAAGCAGAACAATTGCATTCAAACACAAACAAAAAGTAGATGCAACTTGCAGAGCATCAGTAGCCATAACTACAAGAAAACTTGCCAGAACCTTCCACCTGTATTGTTGAATACCTTCTCACCTGTACACAGTGCTGAACCCCTGCTCACCTGTACACAGTGCTGAACTCCTTCTCACCTGTACAGTTCTGAACCTCCTCTCACCTGTACAGTGCTGAACCCCCTCTCACCTGTACAGTGCTGAACTCCTTCTCACCTGTACAGTGCTGAACCCCCTCTCACCTGTACAGTGCTGAACCCCCTCTCACCTGTACAGTGTGTTGAATGCTTTCTCACCAGCACACTCAAACGGTTTCTCCTTGGTGTGCACCCTGACGTGGATTTTGAGGCTGTAGGAGGTGAGGAAGGCCTTGCCACAGCCCTCCTGGTTGCAGACGAAGGTGTACTCTCCCCGGTGGGTTTTCTGGTGCGTGCGCAGGTTGCCAGCGGTGCTGTAGGTGCGGGGACAGCCCTCAAAGGTGCACTGGTAGCGCTTAACCTGAAGGACAAAATGCTACATGCTTAATCATTTTTAATAATTTCTGGAATGCAGACATGGATGTAGTCCTTTGATGCAGTCAGACATCAAAGAAAATGCAACAGATTTGGATCCCAATGCCCCCACCAAAAATTTACTGCTGCTTTGTTCTCTGACAACAACATTTCTGCTGTGCTCTGTGAGGAAGGAGTGGCACATGGGAAAGCAGCTGGCCTTGCAGAAAAGGAATCTAACAGAAGGAGGAAAAGGAAAAACATAATCCAAAATTTTCCTAGCTAAAAATCTGATAGAACAGTTGGAAAGAACATTGAGGAGCCATCAAATCTGCCCACCACCTGCAAGTGCAGCACCTGCATTTTGGTCTGATGCTTCCAGCAGAGACAGGGAGACAAAGGAAAATGCACTGTCACAATCTCAAACCCACTGCCCTGGGGGCTGAATTCCCATCAAATTCAGTTGGCACTGAGCCTGAGCATAACAGTCTTTAACATCTCCCATGGTCTAACCACCAGTCCATTCATTACTTCACTTTATCCCAAAACAGCCTTCATTGAGCCTTGTTCTTTCCTTCTGTGGCTACTGGAACAGTCGGTGCCTGAAGGGGAATGGATCACATCAGGTCACAAGGACACCCAGATACAGGTGTCACAGATTTCTCAGTAAGCTATGGAGATCCCTAGGACAATTTCACATGGAACTAGATTTGGTACCTTCCCCACTTCTGCAACAGGCACAAGGGATCGTTTAGAATCTTACAGCGAGCAAGTGGTAACACCTAATGAAATCTCATCCTCTCTTGTGAAGCAGAAGGAATGCAGCCCCGATCTGCCTGAATAAAGTTATCTTCCACCATTAACTACCAGACTGATGGCTTTCATTTGACTGTTAAAGTTCAGAAACCTCAACACCTAAAGGTGACTGAGGAACCCAGGAGAGAACTTGGCAAGTCCCACCAGCTATAATTCACATTCTCCATAACAAAAGAGAAGTAGCTTCTTGATTACTTCCGACCTGTTTTGTAGGGGACAAAACTGCCAGCAAGACTCCTTTAAGAAAATTTTATAAAGCTGAGTGATCTTTTGTGTATCTCAATCCATGGTCTCTTGTTGCTCCCACTACAGGTTGGCATTCACCCTCACCTTACCTCAATAACACCTTTGTATTTGGAGAATGTTAAACCCTCCTGTGAGAAACACAAGAGACCTTTACACAGAGCACAGAAATACCATAACTGCTGGGTTTGGCTGTGATAGAGTTCATTTTCTTCACTTGTATGGAGCATGTTCTGGATTTGTGCTCGACACAGAGCTGATGGTATAGGGATGGCTTGTTCTTAGTGCTTCTCATCCCACCCTGCCAGCTAGGGGCTGGGGGTACACAGGGAGTGGGGAGGGGATGCAGCCAGGACAGATCCAGGAATATCCCAGACCATGTGATGTCATGCTCAATATAGAAAGCTGTGGGAGGAGGAAGGGGAAAGATTTAGTGTTCCCCAGCCTCTGTGAAGCAGCTGGAGCCCAGCTTTCCCAGGCATGGCTGAGCTCTCACCTGCCAGGGGAAGCAAGGAATTCACATTCTCAACTAGTCGCTCAGCATTCTCAGAGAAGGAAACAGTAATTTCACCCTGAGCAATTTGTCCTTAGCTTACAGCTCACATCAGGCAGAAGTCACCACTAAATGCCCAAGAACTGCAGCATGGTAACAATGCAGTTAGCAAGTCTGGTTGTGCTGAGGCAGCCACAACACGTGAGCACAGAGCAGTAACACACCAACATCAGAACACAAATTTTATTACTTGAGGAGGGCACATCATCCTTCCTCAGGATCACCAGATCCAGTACAATTTGTGTATCAGTGCTGAAGTACATGCTCCCTGTTACGGTTTTAAGGCAGCTGGAAATGAACACTTTATAGAACATTCCCCACAGTACTTCCCATGGTACACAAGGGATCTGACACAGGCAGGAACTACCTGAAAATCAAGAGAGGATTCTGTTAAGCTTTCTAGGTGTTTTCATTTAGGTCTAGAAGAAAAAGGACAGTACTAATTACAGATTAAGCTGTTTAGTTCCCAGCTGTCACTGCCAGTGTGTAAGGGAAGGTGGCAGCAGCAACATCAGTTCAATGGCCTGAACTCTGACAATGGTCTTGCAGAGCTCCCCCTCCCTCAAAGGCCAAATCTTTATTTCACAAAACCTTTAGAGCACACCACAGGCAGCAGCAATATCACCACCACATTCTGAGCAAAATCAACCTTTCTGTGAAGCACCACAGTATTTAAATCTTTCACATTAGCACATTAACACACTGCACACTGCTTATACACACAAAACCATCGGAGACTGGATTGAAAGCTTCACAGAGACAGCAGCAAGAGCTCCAGGCTGCGACAGCACCCAAGCACAACAGAAAACAAACAAGGCAGCAGAGGCCAAGCCCTGGACAGGCAGGACAGGGCCCAGGGACTTTGAGGCCAAAGGCTGTGGCTTTTGGCCAGGGACAGTGAGCTGCTGCCTCTACCAGGGGACACTGGAAGAGACGTGATCCAGCACTTACCTCAGAGATGGGAACTCGTTGTGCAATAGCCAACAGGGCTGGAGGAAGCAGAGCCTCACACCCTGGTTCAAAGTCTACAGTAACTGCTCTGTTTGCCTTTAACTCTTTCTGAGCTTGCCATATTCCCCCTAAATGGCTACATTTTCTGTGTCATCGCTGAACAGAGAATAACTGAATTTGAAATACAAAACTGTAATCATGTTTGTTCTTACCAACACAATTACAGTGAGAGATGTATAACAAAATAAAGAAAAGCCAAAGGTAACTAAAGTGTAAAACCCCCTTTTTACCTTCCTAAATGTCTAAGGCTGACCTGAAAATCTAAAACAATTATCCCAAGTGTTAAAAATGTTGTGGGCATTTTTGAAGTACCAAAGAATAGAGCTGCTGATTTTCAGAGATGACCCAGACACTTGGGAGCTTTAGAGGTTTCCTTTCCTTACCTCCAGACAACTTATAAGACCTTTGAAACTGCAGGAAAAAAGGCCTTTCACACGTGCTCAGGGCTCAGTGCCACTGCTTTCACATTATGGTATCACTGCTCTCTGTTCTGGGAAATTAATTCCAGAAACGTAAAATAAATTCACATAAAGCATTTGACTAGGAAATTCCATGCCTTACAAGCTTTCTCTAAAATGCAAGAGTGAAAAAATGAAGTCAGTTTAATTGCACATGCAGCCATTGACCCTGTTTAGCTTCTACCCCCTGCTCTGGGAGCAGCTCAGGGCCCCATAAAGAGAAAGTGAAATACTTGAGCAGCTCCGGGCTGCAGCAGCTGCTACCTTGAGTAACTGACAGAAGGAGACTCAAACAGGCTCACTGAACACACCTCAGTCCAGAAAGTTCCCCAGCTGCAGAGCTGACCCCCCCAGCCCCACTTCCCCAGCACTAAGCCACGATGGTGACAGCTCTGTGCTGATGGCCAGGACTCAGTGTCACAGCCAGGACTGCCACTGCCACCTGGACTCCTCACCCCTCACATAACTCAGGCAGGCCAAAAAAAGGAGCGCTAAACTGTCCCTGAGCTGGTGTTCCAGTCAACTTCCCTCTGCTCTTGCACCCAAAAAGAAGAGTGCCAGGACAAGCCCTCCCCACTATGCATCGAGATGGAATTCATTAGGGAAACAAAATTAAGAGTAAACTCCATTTTAACCATGCAGGCTGACCTGTGCTTTCAAAACACATCAGATGGCAGTTTGAAGCTTCCCTCTTCTTGTCACAGTCTCCCTGTGACACAGTAAAACTAGAAATAATTTAAAATATGGCATCTCACATTTGGTACTCCAGCTCCCAGCAATGGCCTGGCTCTTAACTGTGACCTGAATGTGCTTTTCTTGAGAATGTGGCCAGTCCCAGAGTAACAGCTCAGGTCGTTTCAGCTACTTCTGAACTCACAGAGTAATGACTAACCACAAGAAAACCTGAAGATCACTAAAATTGCACACAACACTGACACAAACGTGTCAGTGCCACACCCTCCTGCCAACCAGTGTGACAAAGTGCCTTCTGGCAGGTTCCTAGGGCAGCAGGTGGTGTCACAGGGAAGAGGGATGGCGCTGGCAGCTCTGCTGGGATCTCCCCAGATCACTGCAAAGCTGGGGGTGACAATGAGAGCAAATTTAGTGGAGGGCAATTCACTCCATTATACAAAACCCCTCAAAAACGAACAGAACTCCTGCCCCTCTCCTGAAAAACAGCCTTGGGAAAGCCCATTTTCAAAGCCTTTAAGGTGCACGAAACCCAGAATCACGTTTAGCTACTCACTTCTTTACGCTTGGTTTCTGGGCACTCAGACTGCAAAGTGAGTGTTGCTCCTTCGATGTTTCTTGGCATGGGAGTTGAACCAGGATTTATTGTTAGATGAATCTGATCTGGAGAAATAATATGTTGCACATAACCCTGTGACATCCCTTCATGATCTGCTAATAAATGAAATCCTTCTTCGTGACCCTCGGGTAAAAAAGGCAAGTGATCACCACACTGTCCTTCATCCTCCTCATCTTCCAGCACACTGTGGTCCTGCTCTATGAGCACAGTTGTCCTGTCATACACCGTCCCGGACGAGGAGGACACCAGCCCATTTTTGTCAGCAAACTTCGTCATATTTTCATCTTGGGCTAAGTCGTCTTCCTCCCCTTCATAGTAGATGGCGTTGTCCTCGGGACTGTTCTCGCCCATGGCTCCGCGCCTCTCACCGCGCTACCGGGAGCTCCGGCTCATCTGCAACACAAGGACGGGCGGGGGGTCAGGCGGTTCGGCCGGCCCGGGCCCCGTTCCGCTCGCAGACACAGCCCCAGGGCCGGTGGCGGCGGGCCGAGCGCCGCGGTCCCGCCCCGAGCGCGGCGCTACCCCCACCCGGCCCGGTCCCGCGAAGAGCCACTAC